TACGTCTAGGTCTCCCCAGCGGTCTCTTCCCCTTAGGTTTCCAAACCAATACCCGGTGCACACCTCTTGTCCCATCCAAGAGCGCTACATGTCCCGCTCATCTCATTCTTCTCGACTTAATCACCCTGACTATAGTGGGGGAGGAGTATAAATTTTTAAGTTCGTCATTATGTAGTTTTCTCCAGACCCCATCGACTTCCCTCCTAGGTCCAAATATCCACCTCAATAACTCTATTCTCAAACATCTGCAATTTATGTTCCTCCCTCAGAGTGAGAGACCATGTTTCTCACCCACGCAAAACAACAGGCAAAATTATTTTTTTGTATACTTTAATTTTCAGGTTCTTAGAAATCAGACGAGAAGACAAAATATTTTGAACTGAGAAGTAGCAAACATTTCCGGAATTTAGTCTCCCCCTATCTTACTCATGAGTATCATTTTGATTTGTTATTGTTGTTCCCAAATATTTGAGCTTTGTAACACTTTCAAAGGATTTGTTAGCCACCCTAAGATAATTCTGCCCGCCTGGCTACTGACGACATACTAACATGTACTTAAATTTTTCTGAATTTACTTCTACCCCATCGGTCTACTAGTCTGTAGTAAAACTTCTGTGTTCCTCTTTATTGTATTTATATCGTCCCCCAATATACTAACATCATCAGTCTTAAAACTTTGCATACCGTGTAGTGTATTAGAATATAGAGTAAATAAACCAACAACTATTAACACTATATTAGACACTATTGCCATACGCATTTTGACCTCAAGAGGTTATCATCACTGAAATCAGGGAAATTAATACATTTAGTCAAATGGTTCGAACTAGATTCAGGATTATAAATGAAAAGGTATTTGACAAGATTTTTGAAGTGACACTGCACTAGATGCTGTTATTCACAGGAGTAAAACTTTTACTTAGCTATTAATCCCGTTGTGCGTTGGCCGTAGCTGGTCTCGGCTATAGCTATAGTTGCGTCGTCTGTACCTGCGAACTCCAGAAACGTAGGTGAGAGAGAGAGCCACTGATGATGCCCTCTTGAGGTCGAAACGCGTATGGCAATAGTGTCTATTTTAGTGTTAATGGTTGTTGGATTGTTTACTCTATAGTTTTACATCATCAGCATATGTCAATAGTTGAAGTGTCCCATTCAATTACAAACCCTCTTGCCTATCTTGGACTTTCCTGATAGCATATTCTAGTGCTAAATTAAAGAGCAAGGGAGACAAAGCATCTCCTTGTTTTAGAATGTCTCAGATGCATATTTACCTACACGAATTTTGCTAAACCTTTCATTTAAGCACATTTTTATTAAACCCACTAGATTCTTTGGTATACCAAATTCAATAAGAATATTATATAGCACTTCTCTCTTCACAGAGTCATATGCTTTTTTGAAATCTATAAATAATTGATGTACAGTCCCACTGAACTCCCATTTCTTCTCTAGTATCTGACAATTGCAAAAGATCTGATCAATAGTTGACCTGTTTCGTCTGAACCCCCACTGATGATCCCCAATAATTTCATTCGCATATGGGGTTAATCTTGTCAAAAGAATGTTGGATAGAATTTTGTATGAGGTTGAAAGCAGAGAAATTCCTCGGTAATTACCACATTCAGTCTTGTCCCCCTTCTTATGAATAGAAATAATTATGGAATCCTTCCATTGTTGTGGCATCTCTTCCTTATCCCAAATTTACTGAATAAGCTTATGGATCCTCATATGCAACCTTTGCCACGTACTTTAATTAATTCTGCTGGAATCTGATCAATACCTGGAGGCTCATAACTTTTCAACTTCCCAATGGCTAGTTCAACTTCATCTAAGCTAGGTTATGGCAGTAACAGTTCAGCTGTATGTATTGTCTAACATCGTAGCTACTCACTATACTGACTAATCCATCCTAGCTCATTTTAACTATCTCTAAATCCTGAGACAATTCTTTATTTACATCTACCTCTCGATGTTGTTGCGTGTATTTGTTTATAACTGACTTATTTTTTTCCATTTGTAAAACCAACTCATCTAATTGTCCTTTAGTGACCTCATCCTTAAAACCTACAGCTGATCTAATGTTAGTAAGCAACTTCAAAATTCATTCAATGTTTGGAATAAAAAAAAAGTTGTCAGTGGAACCACGGTTCCGGAGAATTTGACGTAAATACGTCTATACGGAAAGGAAGTTTATATATTGGCTTTATTCTAAATATTCCCTTTATACATGCTTTACAATTGAGATAAGTTTGATTAAGACATTGCTTATTCAAGTTCAATTAGTTACGCTTGAAATGGGTCTGTGTTAGCTGAATGTAATGTAAGGTAAGGTAAGGTAAGGTAATGTATTGTAAGATAAGGTAATGTAGAGTAAGGTAAGGTAATGTAATGTAAGATAAGGTAATGTAAGGTAAGATAATGTAAGGTAACTATGTATTGTTGTTTATTTGTTGATAAACAGATGACGTTTCCAAGGTAACATAACAATGAAGTTACACCTTTTTTTTCCTTTTTCGTAACAATTTTTCGTTAATATTTTTGCCGAATGACACTGACCGTAAAATATAGACGTATTTACGTCAAAAAAATACTGACTCGAATATCCTTTATTTTACTTTTTAATTTTTATTTCCTTACACTGCGTTCATATCTTCTTCTGAGCAACATATCTTATCGGAACATTTAAAAAATCTGTCTGTTGACATTTATTTCATTTAAAATATTTTTAAAAACGACTTTATCTGGTAGCATCTTTGGAGCGAAAAGATGTAAATGACCACAATTTGCTTCATCAAAGTTTTTATTTTTGCATCATTATAGTAGGGGATACAAGCCTATAATATCATATCATTTTGACAATTGTAAATAAAAAATATATCATTATTTAGAACCCAATTTTGATGTTTTTTACAGTCTAATAGAAAAGGTAATGACATGATAGCTGTAATAAAGCACAGAAATAAATAATTCTTGCCTGTTTATTTGTTTTATATTTTGACTCTCTATTTCATTTTAGGCGTTTTACTCGGGGAAAAATGACACGGACATTGAAGACCAAATTAACAATCTTTCTAAAATTATATCTTGAATTTTATTGGTACTGAAAGATAACTTATGTTCACAGTGATATCTTGAACAGAGGGCTTTCACATATCATGGCAGTTTTCACATCAAATGTTTCTCTTTCCATTTCTCTTTCATTTGCATACGTCACAGATGAACTTTTTCTCTCTTTTCGAAACATCAGTTCACTCAGAGGATGCCCATAACTTGCATTCAGGTTCTAACTGAAACCTTTCGCGCACTTGCCTTCCACACTTTCTCGAATCCTGTTTTATCTTTTCAGCAGCTTTTCCTACACTTCATTTACGTAAGGACTGCTGGTTAATACAGCGGATCCATGATTTTGTTTTTCTCTTTCTTTTTTGGCTTCAGACATTGCAAAAACAGCTCATCGGTCATCCAACCGGTCTCATGATCAATTCCTAAGATTCCTAGAGTCAGGGTAAATTGACATAGTATGTAAATTTGCCCTGGACACAATATCCTAGTTTAAACTTTTTTCCGTTTTAATAGGTATCAACAGTTCATATTTTATAGTTGCAATGAATAGAAGAAACCTAATTTCATATGTATTAAATTATGAAGCACGAAAATATACGCATCGCATCTGTCCACGTCGACAGACTGACGTTTCCTGAGAACATTTTCGTCTTGAAAAAAGACATAACAAATTACAAACGCGAAGCTTTCGGATCTAGTAAACTTGATCACGATATTAAATTTAATCGCCATCGCAGAGGATCGTAATATCGAGACCTCAGTAATTCGTCAGAGTGAACTGCATGCGACTTCGGTGCAAGTTTAGATGAAGAGAAATATACTAGATGCTGTGCCATATCTCGGGTGTTTTTAAACTTTTCCAAACCAGGGACCATACTCTACTATTTCTGTACAGACCGACACGAACGAAGACAGGTGGCGCAGAGAAAGAAATATATGTAAAATGGTGGCTGCTTCACGCTTGAAACAACAGAATAATTTGTACATAAACTTTCATAAGCTGACTGTCAGATCGGAAGTGACAATAGATACGCAGAGGCTTTCAAACCTCGGCCGCCATCGTTAAAGTCGGTCATTTAAAAACTGTTTGTTTGTTAAA